CATAGTGCTAGAAGATGTGTCCCTAGGTTGGAAGGCATTCAAAATGCACTTCAACAAGGCAATGGTTGTGAAGATGGTTCAGGGGCACTCAGTGCTTTGTTTCCTTGGGCATGGGGCCAAAGACAACTAACACCAGCAGTGCCAGGAATCGATACGGCCAATGCCTTTGATTTGAGTGTGGCTCCTTCTTTTATTCTGCCTTGTATTCCACACATAATCCACCCTCTATGCTTTCTAATTTAGGCTTATTTAAGATGAAGGAAAAGAAACTCTAAGGGAGCAATGACTAAGCACTTGGCTGTTAACTCACAAGTCAGTAGTTCGAACCCACCCAATGGCTCTGCTAGAAAAAAGACCTAGTGATCTGGTCCCATAAAGACTATAGCCTAGGAAACCATATGTGTCCGCTTTACTCTGTCCTATAGGGTTGTTATAAGGAGCTCTGGTAGCATAGTGGCTACGAATCGGGCTGTGAACCTTAAGGTCAGCAGTTCGAAACTACCAGCTGCTCTGCAGGAGAAAGATGAGGCTTTCTGCTCCCGTCAAGATTTACAGCCTTGGAAACCCTGTACAGGGTCACTATGGTTCGGAATCGACTCCACTGCACTTAACAACAGCAATATAGGGTTGCTATGAGTCAGAACTAAGTCGACAGCACATAACAAAATGAAGGTGGAATCGGGCATTTTGAAAGTAAACTGTGTGTAGATTCATGCAAATTTTGTGATACTCTTTCCTTGTTCCATTAGACAGTTGTTGGTTTTTTTGGAGGGAGTGGGGTGGGTAACCTCCTTTTATTTTTTCCAAGGTTTTATTTTTCATAAAACAACTCTTCCCGCCTCACTCCACTCCTGACACATACACAATAACAATATCGCTCTTATTGTTGTTGTTAAGTGCTGTCAAGTCAGTTCCTACTTATAACGACCCTACTCTATAGGATTTCTAAGGAGCGGCTGGTAGATTTGAACCACTGAATTTCTGGTTCAAATCAACCTTGCAGTCCAGTGCTCATCTTACCAGTGCTACACCAGGACTCCACTGGTGGTGTTGGTGTTGGTGTGCCATGGAATCCAACTCATAGGGACCCTGTATAGGGTTTCTGAGGTCTTAAATCTTAACAAGAGCAGAAAGCCTCGTCTTTCTCCTGCAGAACGGCTGGTAGTTTCAAACTGTTGACCTTAAGATTAGCAGCCCAACTTGTTGTTGTTAAGTGCCATCAAGTCGATTCTGACCCATAGTGACCGTGTACAGGGTTTCCGAGGAGCGACTGGTGAGCTTGAACCGCTGACTTAGCAGTTCAAACAGCTTTGTCGTCTAGCGCATTAACTCACAGCGCCACACCAGGACTCTGCATCAGCCCAACTAAGCAATGTTTAATCAGATTTTAAAATTTAAAAGGCAAAACAACCACTTGGGCTCAAACCTAACTGCTCAGGAGGAGGCAATGGAACGAAGAAGAAAATACACAGAAAACAAACATGAAAAGAGGTGAGGTAAAGTAAATAGCAACTCATATTTTTATAGAATTTATGGTATATCATGTTCCTATTCTAAGGGCTTTACAACTCACTTAATCTTCACAAGTGCTATTATTATCCCCCACTTGACAGAAAGGAAAAGGAGGCATGCATTTGATTCTCTTTTGACAAAAATTATTTTAATCAAGACATTTTAAAAAACTTTTTTTACTTAAATGTTTCTAAGTTGCATTATCAATGTTTAACCCTCATCACAAAATCTATTGAGTATAATTAACATAATCTGTCTTTGAAGTGGCATAATAATAAAAGTGTTTCTATTGTTAAAAGTGCTGTTGAGTCATTTCTGACCTATAGCCACCCTATATGGGGTTTCCAAGGAGCAGCTGGTGAGCTTGAACTGCCAACCTTGCAGTTCAAACGGCTTTTGCAGTCAGGCACATTAACCCACAGCGCCACATCAGGACTTTTGGATCCCTGTTGGTGCAGTGAGCTAAGCATTGGGCTGCTAACAGAAAGATCAGCAGTTCCAAACCACTAGTCACTCCTCAAGAGAAAAACGTGACAGCTTGCTTTGGTCAAGATTTGTCACCTCGGAAACCCTTTGGAGCATTTCTATTCTGCCCTCTCAAGTCTTGATGAATCAGAATCAGCTCCACATACGTTGGTTTGGTTTGGAATGAAAGCTTAATGTAGCCTTCCATTTGGGCTTCACCAAAAGTGTTCTTCAGTCTTACAAAAGTCAGACAGGTGGGTTTAGCTAAGTCAGGAGCTCTATGGGATGGCTATTGTGGTGTTATTAAGCTTCCACCTTGTGGGGACACGAGACTTCTGGTGACCCTGAGCACAGCACAACAAGGCAAAATGCTGCCTGAGTCCTGCACCCTCCCTGTGATGAGTTGGGAATCAGAATAATGTGATCAATAGGGTTTCCGTTGGCTGATTTTTTTTTTTTTTTTTAAAGTAGTCTGCCTTAATCTGGAAGCTCTGGAGAAACCTGCTCGGCATCATAGCAACATGTAAGCTTCACTGATGGATGGTGGTGGCTATGCATAAGATGCGTTGGTTGTGAGTCAAGGACGGTGAAGATTCTACATGGAAGGACCAGAGTTTACTTCTGTGTTAGACAAGAGTGCTTAAATACCCGGGTTTCCATCTTTATCTTTGTCATCTTTTTCTGGTGATGGTGAACTTAGTCAAACTCCATTGATTGTAAATCATGTAATCTTTATGGGTGTGATTTCTTTTTTCAAGTAGCAACGGAGTGATGCCTGAAGCAGCAGCAGACAGGTGAATCAAGTTTACAAGTGGTCAGCAATCTGTTCCCAATGGATTTTAGGGTCTGAGCGGAAGCATAACCCGGCTGAGCCCACCTCTCCCTCAACCTTGCTATCTCTCCCTTGCCCTGTCCTCATTTCTCCTCTCTTCCAGGCATCTGCTTTGCAGCCTTCCTTCTTTCCCTGTCTAGGGGCAGCGCCTGCCCTGAGAGGAGTTGGGACTGACCTGGATTGTACTCTAGTTCCTCCTTGGTTCAAGGCTGGCAGCCTGCTACTGCTAGGGCCCAACTGCTAATGCACATCATCGTACTCTTCCCATAGACTATAAATTCCAAGAGAGCAGAGGCATTGTAACCCAAGGCCTAGCACTGTGTCTGATACCTAACAGATGCTCAGAAACCATTTACTGAAAAGATGAATGAATGACTCGTGGGCACCAGTTCAATAAATAAATCACATTATTGCCTCTCATCACCAGCGTCCTTGATTGGTCTAATGAAAATTAATTTCTGTAATAAGGTCATGTCCCTGAAGAGTCTTGCAATGTTTCTTATCTAGTCCTGTATGTCACTTTTTTTCATTTCGTTGTATGTATTTGTTTCAAGTTGAACTTTCTGATCTCTTCCACCTAAAAAAATCTTGCCAATTCTTTACTGACCATCTCAGTGGCTAAACCTCCACCAACTTTCTATGATGATTCCAGTTTAGGGTGGTCATTCCCATATACTCCAACAATACTGGTTGTACTTCTTCTCAAAAGGGCATTGCACACTTTGTTTCTATGTCTCCCTTCTCTCCTTCCCCTTTTGAGTCTTACAACTCCTCTACATCAGAATGCTAGGTGAAAGTTAGTTCCCTTTGACAGAGAGGAGAGATTTGGAGCTATTAATGGATATGCTTAGGGACACAGCCTAAGAAATGATGGAGCACGTTAGAATTCTGATTTCTTACATCTTCTTAGTCCAGTATTCCTTACACTGCAGCAGATTCATGCTGCGTGCTCATGTGCCCAAGTTCTGGTATGTATCACTGCCACGCTTACCTCAGTTCACTTCCCTTTTGTTAGTGTTAAGTGCCGCTAAGTTGGTTCCAACTCATAGCAACCCTGTACGGTGTTTCCAAGGAGTGACTGGTGGGGTGGAACCACCAGATTTTTCTATTAGCAGTCATGTTTATCCTACAGCATCATACAAGGACTCCAACCAGATTATAATTTCCCTCAGACCCATAACCCTGTAGACAAATTAAACATGTGCACTGGTGGTGGTGGTTATGTGTCGTGGAGTTGGTTCCAACTCATAGCGACCCTGTACAGGGTTTCCGAGGCTATAAATCTTTACGGGAGCAGACATCCTCATCTTTCTCCCGGAAATAGTTGGTAGTTTCGAACTGCTGACCTTGAGGTTCGCAGTTCGATCCGTAAGCACTACGCTACCAGCGCTCCTTAAACACGTGAACTAAAGGGATTTAATTGAAGTGACACAAACAGACATATTCACAATAGCAAAAAGACTCAGTGTGGACCTGTATAGGGTTTTTAAAGAGCGTCTAGTGGGTTTGAACCGCCAGCCTTGAGGTTAGCAATCCAGTGCTTTATCCTACAGCACCACACCAGGTGCTGTAATCTAATCCCTCATATAGATTACAGCAAAGAAAACCCAATGGGGGAGTTGCTATGAGTCAGAAGGCACTGAATGGCACATACCTCACAAAATGGGGGAGATCTTGGGAGGGGACCAGGCCCCATCAAACTCACTACTCCAGGAGGTCTGGACTGGCTTTGGATTTGCTAATTTGAAACAAAACGAAACAAAACAAAACAAATCCTACAGTCCCAGCAGCCTAGGGTCTAACCCTTTAATGTTACAAACTGACCCTAGCAGAGGTGGGAACGAACCAGAAATACAGTGTTCACTAAATCCTCGCGATGAATTCCTTCGAACTAGTTTGTCCCTGAGGCCGCCTTGTAGGCGACGTCCCGACGCTGAGCGTCTCCCAGGGCCGCATTGCCATGGCTGCCGGTGGTGGTGTCGCCGCCGCTGGCGAGGGGCTTCGCTACGCCGAGTACTCGCCACCCTCCGCCAAACGGCCAGATGCGGATATTGATCAAGGACTGGTGAGTCCTACGACGGGCCTCGGACTTTTAGCTTTGCAAGTCCAAACGACGCGGCCTAATAGTCCGCGCTGCCCATGCCCCCACCTACTCCTTATTTCTCCCACAGTCCCCCTTTACCCCTGAACCTTTTTACTCCCGTTGTCCTTGCACTGTCTCAGCCCCTCTTCTCTTATCTTCGTTCAGCTGCTGGGCGCTCCACGTTAATTAAATAAATAGGCTTGGAAGATAACTGCAGGTCAGAGCGTGCCTGCCCCCCTCAAGAAGCTTCCAGTCTTTCTGGGGAGACACACTAGAAAACAGGGGCAGATAGTTGCTAAGTGCAATGATGGACTCTCCTTCACATAGGGAACCCCAGACCTGTGTTTAGGGGGTGTACTGGGGTGGGGGACGCTTATTGGAGAAAGTGATATTTAAACTAAGACCTCGGGGGAAGAGGCCAAAGGTTCCCGCACCAGTGAAATATGGTCGCAGACTAGAGAAACATGGCTCAGTCAGAAATTGCAAGCGGTTTATTCCGGTTGAAATATACAGCTGGGAAATTAAATATCCAGAAGACAATTTCAGGAGCTACACTTAAAAGTTTAAATAAAGGGAAGGAGTCATTTAAATGCTGTATTTTATTTAACCCAGGAAACCTGATGAGGCGTTGTAGGATAAGTACTAGACTGCTAACTGGAAGGTCTGTGGTTCAAACCCACTAATTGATCCGTGTAAACCTACTACACAGGGTCGCCATGGGTCGGAATCGACTCGTCGGCACTTTACAACAACATCCACCATAATGCAATTCCAACTCTCAATCAATATAAAGAAATACTAACCAGCAACTGTGCCTTTTTTAATATTTGAAAACTACACTTTAAGCACATCTTAATTTCACTGAAATCACAAACTCATTTTAAGAGGGGCGAGTAATCAGCATGGTTGTAAAAGGTGAACAGAGACAAAAACCTGAAGCTTCTGGTAAATCTAAGATATGAGACGTGGTGACAGTGGGTTGGGTTTTGGGGGTTTGATGGCGGAGGCATAATTTTGATGAGTTTTGACAGAGAAGTGACAGATTGGACACTCAGGCTGTGTGTAAGTGGAGAAAATCTGGAAACAGTTTGTGACTTTATCCCTTTTTCACTTCAGCCCACAGTGATAGCTTTCTTTTAAATGCATAGCATTTATTGTCCATATCATATGTTTGCTAACCATACACTGTGTTGTGACCTCCTTTATCTTTTTTCCCCCCAACTGTTTATTGTGAATTGAGTGAAGATTTACAGAGCAGATCATCAGTTTCGCATTCAACAAATCATATACTTTGCTTCATTACAGTGATTGCAATCCCCTCCATGTACCAACAGTTAACAGTTGTTGTTAAGTGCCGTTGAATCAATTCTGATCCATGGCGACCCTGTATAGGGTTTCCAAGGAGCAGCTGGTGAGCTTGAATTACTGACCTTGCAGTTCAAAAAACTTTGCAGTCTGACGCATTAGCCCACATTGCCACACCAGTTAACAGTATTTACCTCTATTCACTTTAGCTATTGCATTCCTCCTGTGTCTCCTGTTACCTTCATCTTTCCTCTTGTAACCACCCTCTTATATATTGCTTGCCCTGTCACCGGTATTATCATGTGTCTACCCTCTAGCTTGTGAGTAATTTTTTTCTCCCCCTGCACTGACCCCCCTCATAAACCATCATAGATTGTTCTTTTATTGAGAAAATCTTTTTTTTTTTTTACAATATTGATTTCATACAATATTTGTCCTTTTGTGATTCACTAATTTTACTCAACATAATGTTCTCCAGGTTCAACCATGTTGTGAGGTGTTTCACACATTCATCTTTGTTCTTCAACAATTTATAGTATTCCATTATGTGTATGTACCAAAGTTCAACTATTTTTCTGTTGATGGGTATTTAGACTGTCTCCTTCTTTTTGATACATCTCTTGTAGATAGCATATTGAAGGATCCTGTTTTCTTATCCATTCTGCTTTCTGTGTCTCTCAACTGGTACATTTCATTGATTTACATCCAGTGTAATTATCAGTAGGTGTGACTCCATTGCTGTCATTTTTCTGTGTGTTCTGTTTTTGTATGTGGTGCTGCTGGATTCTTTATTCCATGTAATTTTCTAGTTTCAGCTCATTTTGTTGGTTTTCTTTTCATTGTCATTTCTGTTATGTTGTTGCTAAGTACTGTAAAGCCGATACCAACTCATAGTGACCCTGTATAGGGTTTCAGAGGAGCACCTGGTGGGTTTGACCCACCGACCTTGTGGTTCAAACTGACCTTGTGGTCTAGTGCTTTATCCTACAGTGACACACCAAATCTCTAGTGTTTATGAAATCTTAATGATTTTCCTCTTTTTTAAAATTTGGTGTACAGGTGTATTATTTTTCTTTGCGGTTCCTATGTAATGTATTAATTTTTTCCCTGCTAAAACAGTGCATTTTATCATGAAGTATACCTGGCTTCCGTGGCATTTGGAAGCTCTATATCTACACTGTTTCCTCTTTTTACTTTGTAGTTGGCTTCATTATACATGGATGTAGCCGATTACCTGTTTTCAGTCTTGTAGGCTTGTTTTACTTTAAATAATTCTCTATCTGAATTGAGTTCTGGGTGGTGTTGTCATGAATGGTCATCTCAGGTTGTTGTCTTCTCTTGTTGAGTCTCAGTCCAAAGAGCATTGCTTAGCAGTTTTTGTAAACTGGGTCTGGTCATTACAAATTCCTTTAATTTCTGTTTATTGGGAAATTTCCTAATTTTGCTGTCCTATGTGAGGGACATCTTTGCTGAGCATGTTATTCTTGGTTGGAATTTCTTTCCTTTTAGAGTTTCCCATTGCCTTCTTGCTTGCATGGTTTCTGCTGAGCAATCAGAGCTTAGTCTTTTACTGGTTCTCCTTTGTCTTTGACTTTGAAAACGTTTCATTATGATATGTCATGGTTATTTTTCTTTGGGGGTCTGTCCTGTTTGGGTTCGATGACCTTCTTGTATGCTTATCCTTTAGTTTTTCTTCCAACAACTCTGACCATTTTCTCTGTGCTTTTTATTGTCTCTTCCTTTTCTGGAACTCCAATCAACAGTTAGTTGTTCCCCTTCATGGTGTCCCACATAGCTCTTAGACTTTCTTTGGATTTTTTATTGTTTTTTCTGATTGTTCTTCAAGCATACTAGTATTGAGAAATTGATCTTCAAGTTCACAAATTTGGGCTTCCATTGCTTCACATCTATTCCTTTGTCCTTCCAATGTATTGTCCATTTCTGAGATTTTAGTATTAATTTTCTGTATTCCTAATTACAGGTTTTATGTTGTTTCAAAATTTACATTTATTTTGTCTGTTTGTTCTTATAGTGATTTCCTGAATTTGTGTAAAGTTTTTATTGGGTTCTCTTTGCTGTCCTTGATCTTTCTATCAATCATTTGAAGATACCTAATTATCATTCTTTTGAATTATTTTTCAGTTGGTTTCATTACCATTTCTTCCTCAGAAACAATTTCTGACTCTGCATCTTGGTCATAGGCAATAAACTCAGTCCATAAGTATAAATTTATTTGAAAACATGTCTTCAATTTTAATATGTAAATGTTCAATCATGACTACATTAGAAGGCATAATGAAGCAATCGTTTGCTGGCCTATTTGAACCAATGCAAAGAATCATTGTGAATGTAATAACTACAAATGGAGGCTGATTTCAGAAGTCTTTTATTGGCAATTCAAGCCACTGTCATCCACAAAATGATTTTTCCAAAATCGTGAAAATTTTTTAGTAGAATTCTGAACAGAACAAAGTAGAAGCTACTCTCAGTTTACATAGTAGTTGCACGTTTAGGAAATTCAGCTATTTTTGTAGTATAAAAGAATGTATTTTCTAAGGTGCAACTATTATTGGTTTCTCCCATCTGGAACAAAGAAGAGTGAAGAAAATCAAAGATGCAATGAAATCATTAGTACAGAGGACAGATGGACCAAGTGAACCTCAGCCCTTCTGCAATTGGCATCTTTCTTTTGCTGGGAGTGTTCAGTCCATAACTGAAATACCTGGCTAAGGGTGGTTGTGACACACAGTGGTCTCTGGGTCAGGATAACGTTCCCCCTATAGTTCTTCCTGAGTGCCAGCATTCAGTTCCCATTGCAGCCCTCCTTTCCTGCTTCCTTTTTCTTGTGTCCTATCCCAGTTGCTCAAATACTTGTTCGAGTCTCTTTCTCTTCTCTCTTGGGGGTGATCCTGTGGATTATCCTAAAACCAGTCTGAAACTTAAATGAAGTTTGAAAAAGCCAATAATCCAGCTCCTGTTCATAGACAGAAAGGGACAAACTTAGATAAACATTCCACAAAGGAACATCTGAACACCTGCAGGCTTCAACTTTCAGCCACTCTCACATCATATGCGTGACTCACTTTCACAGTCTAGTCAAACACAGAGACGGGGGTTCTTTCTCTGTGGTCCTCTCTCCATGACTTTCTTTTCCCAGGGACAGGGACCATTCCCCACAGTTTTAACTTGGGGCCTGGGGGCTGCCCCCAAGTCTTTAACCCAGTGACTGGGGACTGTTTCTTATTGTCCTTAATCCAGGGATCAGTGATGACTCCCCACAGTCCTTAACCTTGGGGACTGTGTACTACTCCCCATAGACCTTAACCTGGGGACCAGGGACAGCTCTCCATAGTCCTTAACCCAGGAACAGCTTTCCAAAGCCCTTAACCCAGGGATTGTACAGTCACCTCTGTAAGAAGCAGAGAGCATGCACTTGCCTCACTCTCCTTGGTCTATATGATCCTCCATGCCAGGATGGTGATTGTCAATACCTGTCTTCTGGACATCAAGGACTTTCCTTCCAAATGACCCTTCCATTCCTGACTTGAGCACAACAAGATGAGGGTTGTGTACTAATCTAGGGAGCTCTCTGGCTGCCATGCTTTGTTCACTTCTGCTCAGAGAGCAGAAGGAGACTGGGAGCACTGTGTCATGGCTCAGCCCTTAGTCTGGGCCTG